TTTTTCCCCATTGCCAGCAATGGGGTGGGTGCGGTTTTGGAGTGACTCATCCGGCCGTGGGCTGGCAGTTTGACATGCCTGTTTTAACCTTTTAAATAACAAATCACAAATATTTTCTTTCTACCAGTATCTAGTATTTAGATTCACAGTAACCATCTATCAAATGAGCTGAAAAATCCTTGCCTATTCATAATAATACCACTTTACAATGTCTGTGCCACACCTGGAATATTGCATCCAGTTTTGGTTGCTGTGATATAAAAAAAGATGTTGAGACTTTAGAGTGCAGAGAAGAGCAACATAGATGATTAGGGGACTGGAGGCTAAAACATATAAAGAATGGTTGCAGGAATTAAGTATGTCTAGTCTAGTGAAAAGAAGGACTAGGGGTGACATAATAGCAGTGTTCCAATATTTGAGGGGCTGCCACAAGGAAGAGGGCGCTCAACCTATTCTCCAAAGCACCTGAAGGCAGGATAAGAAGCAATGGATGGAAACTAAGAAACTTTCTGGCAGTTAGAACAATTAATCAGTGAAAGGAGTGCTTCCAGAGTTGTGGATGCTCAGATACTGGAGGTTTTTAAGAAGAGATTGGACAACCATTTGTCTGAAATAGTATATTTCTGAGGAGAGGAACAACATGATAGTTGATCCAAGCCTGATGCAGTCTATGGAAATACTAAGTAATTCTTCTTTTTAAAGAAAACCCACTTGAAAATGTAACTAATAAAAATATCCAGAATGAATTAGTACATGTGTGAAATGTTTTGTTTCCTGTCTTCTCACTTGGAATAATCGGAGCTCAATGTTCCAGGAGTTGCTTGCTCATTACTGGAAGGCTATCATCCATCAAATAGTTTTTTTATATCTCGGATGGCCCCCAAATAGGTCCATTGAAAGGGGAAATGAAATATTCTGGGAGAAGAAGACATGCTTCAGAAAGCAAGTTATCTTTTTCATATACCTAAAATCCAGCACATACTTATTTTAATAATAAATACATATAACCAACATTGTGGCTCTTCCACTTTCTGTAGTGTTTACATTGCTTTTAAATACTGTACTTTGAATATATATAGAATGCACAACATGCTGTGGTTGCATGTATAATTCTGCTTGTATGTGTGAAGAGTTGGTGTATGTGTGTGTGTGTGTGTGTATTCAATAAAATAAAAGTTTAGTTGTATGAATAGGATTTACTTTCTAAAAACATATAGGCATCCTATATTTGAGAACATTATAAAAGTATAAAATTGATTCAACTTACTTTTAATGTATTGTTTCATTCATATTGCTACATTACAGTGGTTATGCATTTTGTTATACTCTAGTGAGGTTTCTAGAATGCATGCTGATATATACATAATGTTTGATCATTGCTGTTAATCGATACCATTGATTACTACATAACCTGGTACTGACATAAGACAGTGCTTTTCAAATGGAAGAGAAGAATAAATATTGAGAGAATTCAAATATTGATCATTGATAGATTATTACAGTCTGCATTTTCAGGTTGTTCCTTTTTGTGTCTCAAATATGTATCTGTAATCATAGTTTTCATGCATAAGTTTATGTTTCCTTATTTAATGCTAGAAGTATAAGTCACAAATTCTTTATTGTTTGAATCAATACAACAATTAATAGCACTAGCAATAGCGCTTAAACTTATATACCACTTTACAGCCCTCTCTAAGTGGTTTACAGAGTCAGCCTATTGCCCCCAACACTCTGGGTCCTCATTTTACCAACCTCGGAAGGATGGAAGGCTGAGTCAACTTTGAGCCAGTCAGGATTGAACTGCTGGCAGTCGGCAGTCAGCAGAATTATCCTGCATTTCTGCATTCTAACCACTGCACCACCACATATTTTCAATTGAAGCTGAATGCTCAATAGTACTGTAAAGTAAAAAAATACATTTTTCTTGAAAAGATACTCATGTGTAGCAGATGACCTTATTAATCCATTAATTTCTCATTTTCCATCTTCCACAGCGCAAGTGAGCAAATAGGCAAGAAATTGACAATGGGCCATAGTCACCCTTCCATTTTAAGTAGGACATGTTTGCTATAGATTGGTGGGCCTATAGGCTAGATGGTGTCTCTAGATATTCTGGAAATGTTTAAAGTTCTTGCTTTTTCTCCAAAGTTGGAAAGGCAATTTTTTTTCTCTCTGTTCCAGTTTAGATATTCAAAATACAAGTACAAGTAGAATTGTCAAGAGTCTTTTATTTTTTTAATCAGTGCTTCTTTGCTCAGTTGGTGAATCATAAAAACTAGTTTTAAAGTCTCATAAATTTGGCTTATCCAATCAATATGAAGGTAAAGCTAGTCAGGCAATTTTTGATGCTATAATTTTCTGTAGGTTAATTTCAGCTTTTTAAATAAGCTTTAAAGCAGGGGTCACCAATCCCCGGTCCGTGGACCAATACCAGTCCGTGTCATGCCAGCAACCGGTCCACATGAACAAGTGAAGCCCCATCCGTGGAATGCAAGCAGCACACAAAACCATGCATTCTCCGGTCCACGGAAAAACCTTTCTCCACGGAACCGGTCCCTGGTGCCCAAAAGGTTGGGGACCTATGCTCTAAAGCTTTTTTTTTTTTTTTTAATGATTGGCTAATTTTAAATAACGATTATAAGATAATAGAAGCTAATAGTTTTAAATTTGAGAGTTAGCTATGGTTTTGTTTGTTAAATTTTCTTGCCATGTTTCTTCAACATACAATTTTTGGCACACTCTATATACAAATATTAAATCAAACTTATAGCAGGATATGAGGCAAAAGTTGTTTGCCCGTGGAATTAATGTTTAGGAATAATTTGATGGAGATCAGTAGGGAACTGTATATTCTACATTGGAGTAGACTGAAAATATTTGACACAGTTATTAATTTTGAAATGAAATAAGTGCAAGAGGCAAAGGGCTGCATATCATTGAATTAGTAGTTCTGTTCTAAAAATGGATGAACAGTAGCATGACTGTTCAGTGGCAAAGAAAGGAACCTCTGCTCTCTCTCTCTCTCTCTCTTTTCTTCCTTTAAATATGTCCCAGGATTGAATACTGATACAGAAAGATAGGGTGATAGTCCCCACTTAGTCAGATGGCCACTATGTANTCTCTCTCTCTCTCTCTCTCTCTCTCTCTCTCTCTCTCTCTCTCTCTCTCTCTCTCTCTCTCTCTCTCTCTCTCTCTCTCTCTCTCTCTCTCTCCTTCCCTCCCTCCCTCCCTCCCTCCCTCCCTCTCTCTCTCTCTCTCTCTCTCTCACACACACACACACGGATGGGATAAAGGGAAAAGAGCCATCATGCCTGTCAGGACACAATGCAAATGATATTATATAATTTACATCATTTGCACAATGATGTCATGACACTTGTGAAATAATTGTGTCTTGTATTGGGTGTTTTTGCTTTCAGTTGTCCAATTACTGGGCAATGTGATTGAGAAAGAGGAGTTGCTTACAATTATTTTTCTATACATGTTCCGTAGAATTGGCTTGTAAATTATGCATTTAAAAGCTCTATAAATACCATACATTTAGCCTTCACTGATTAAATAAATAAAATTTCCTCTCAGTCTACCTATTTTGTACCATACTTTAAAACTTGTGATTTTAAAAGTAATTGTTTTATAATTAATGTGGAGGTGGATGCAGTAATTATTAATTGCTTGAATGCTCCAGGATTTATTTATATGGAAATGTTTTCCTTTAAACATTAATCTGAATTGAATTGCTGAAAAAAAAAATCTGATGTTCTCTAGATCTCCAAATCCTTGGAAATTGCCTACAGCTATTTAATAATTTCTGACTCTACCAGAATTCTATGCTGTTTCAATTAAAAATAAAGGAACTGAAGAGGAATTCTAATATAGTTAGCTAAATGTTATAGATGCTATTTGGAGAGTAAACAGCAAGGAAGGGTAAAATGGAAAGGGAGCGTTGGAGAATTTTTACATTCATACATTGTTGAAGCTTCGTATGATCGGCTGAACAATTAGAATTTTATTTTCTTCATTAAAAGCTTAATAGGGGAAGTTTTTTTGTCATCATCAAACCCAAGTTATCGATTCCCACCACAAAGTCCAGTTTTTTTTTTTTCTCGGACAAGAGGAGTCCTATAATTATACATGGAAACCCTTTTTGTTCGATAGACAACTCCTTCGACGTCGAAATACAGGAGTAGTGATCTCTAGAGGTATACGGGAACCTAGAAGGCCTCAGTCTTTACCGTCTACTCGCTTGCTGAGACCAGAGGGCTCTCATTGTGATTCATGGCAGGTATTCAGCTCAATCTGCCCAGAGCAAATCTGTTTAATGTTGATCAGCTGTCCATCTGATAAGTTGAATTGATATGGACATTTTCCTGGGAGGACTGCCCTGACAATGACAGCCGGAGCATCAGGATGCCTTATTAGTCTCTGTCTTCTCCCTCTCACTCACATCAACAGTAGAATATATTAACCCTTCCTTAGACCTTGGATTATAGCAGAATGCAGTTTTCTGTTCTAGAATATAAATGGTTTGTATTTCTATTTCATTCTGGAATACAGCAAAGATTGACCATGATTAGAATGTTTCTGTCCCATGCCGCCCTGTGTACCTCCATAATTTGATATATAGCAACACCAGCCTAGCTATTGAATCAATACTACTACTGCTGAAATAGGATACAAAATGATGGTATGCCCATAAGACTACAGTATTGTGGTCAATTTACATCCTTAACTTTTTTTTCTTAATAATTGTTGATGCATTAAAAGTTGTTAATCCACATTTGAAGAATGGAGCAAGGATTTACATTTTAAATTGTTTCAAGGTCTCCAAGAAATAAACATTCTGCTTCAGATAGAAATTGTAATCAGAAGTGATCATTGGCCAAATAGGTCCAAACAAAGTGAATGTTACATTTGCACTAATAAATATTTTTTTTATAATATCTGTGAATTGTGCAGTGGTTGTGCAACTAATTGTATTACCTCTGATCTTTACTTTAAAGTCAACGAGCTCTTGCAGAGATCACAGAGTTGATCCACACAGCTTTCCTTGTGCATCGTGGAATTGTAAACATTGCTGAACTGACATCCTCAGATGGAGCATTGAAAGATATGCAATTTGGAAATAAAATGGCTGTCCTGAGTGGTGATTTTCTTCTAGCAAATGCCTGTACAAGTCTTGCTCAGCTGCAAAATACTAAGGTAATGTGATTCCTGTGGTTTTAAATGAAAGCATTTTAGTATGTGTTTTATTTCAAAAACTGCTCAATTGCTGCTTTTTGTGAGCTTGTTTTATTAGAAACCTTGGTGCTTTGAAGCATTCAATGTCACTTTATATTGTACATACATCCCCCATCTGAAATTTTACTAGATAGGAAGTGTCAGCTATGTCAGATGAACTAAATATGTAAAATGTATACTATGACATTCTTTCTCATATTGATTCCCAAAGAATCACTAGTGAGATTAGTAGGAAGATCTGTCCTTGCAGAAAGAGTGAATTAAAGTAAATGAATTATAGAAGTTTTGATTCATTCTTGAGCATCTTTTCAAAACATGAAAAAAGTGTAAACATGTGGAACAAGTGAACACTGATGGGCTGGCAGCAAATATTCATTAGTAGAATAGGATTTTTATGACAAGAATGATCACAAGAATCACAGGCCATGCTACCTGTTTCATTCAATATAGCCAAGTTACAGTCTACAGCAGAGGTGTCAAACTGCCGGCCTGCGGGTCTGATGCGTCACGCGGAAGCCATGCCCACTCCGGCAAGGGGAAAATAGTCGCGATATGTCACAACACGTCACGTCATGTGGTCTACAGTATAAACATGTTCTTTGCATGTCTGTCAAACATATATTTTGTGAATTGGCTACTTTACCAAATCTGTTTTGGAAATTAGAAGAATAGCCATGGATTTTAATAAAGTAGAAATGCTTTATGTTATTCTGTATCAAATACTATTTCTAGGCAAAGTGATGTAATTATTTTTAGTTTGCCACAGTTCAGATTTAAAACACAGTGACCTACAGAATTATGTGACTTCTCAACTAATTAAGCTGCTTGTTCTGAAAGTTATGCCAAAACATATTATCATTTTGTTCCTGCTTTAGACAAATAAAAACTTAAGAAACTTCTATATAAACTAAGTGGAATCCACTCAGTATTTATCAGCTCATTCTCTCATGTCTTAAAAATGTAATGAAATATAAACTATAAAATGCTTGATAGATTGGTTTGATATTATAAAGGATACCTTTTTATTTTTTGTATTTATTATACAGTTATGTTCTTAAAAGCCATATAAGATATACATGTAGCTAGTATATTAACTTAATTTTATTTATTTTCTTAATTACTTAGGTTTATTATACCTCGGTTGTTACCAATTCTCTAGCTATTCTAAACTACATTCTAGTTCAGAAAACAGATTAATAGAATAATAAAGTATAATATATATATATATTATATATCGTATAATAGTGTAAAGTAATAATAAAGTGACACAATGCAAATTATACTATCCCAAGGAATAAAAAATTGTGAAAATAGTCACAAATTTTTACGTGTTTAGCTATATAACGTGTCATGATATCATGAATATACAAGTTACACTGGTTATCTTTTAATGCTCCTCTAACATCTTTTCTGCATTATGCTTGCCTTTCCATTTGTTATTTATAATCCCTGCAGAACTTCAGTCTTAACTTGGGGGGGACCTGTTAGAGATAAAAACTGACACCATGCTGTCCCCAGTTAAGAAAATTCTATAGACATATTACATGTTACAGACAGATATAGAAAAATAGAATCTGCATTAGTTTTTGCACATAGGTACATCTTATCATTTTTGTTCATTATTATGAATTGCTCACATTGGAATTTACCTTAAAGACTCTGTAAGCTGCTTTCTTTATTTGGCGAAAACTAGCAGGATAAATTCATGAAAGTTCTGCTTCATGCAGTTTTTGAACTTTTAAATCTTACTATACCACTTGTGATCTCTATATTTTGCAATCTGTTAACAAGGATAACTAAGAAATTTAAATGATTTGTGAATTCATTACAGTAGTAACAATGCTAGCCATGGGAATTGACAGTGAGCAAATAAGTAGAGATTTGTTTATTGATTATTGTTGCAAGTAGTATAATATATGTATCTAAGATTTCTAATGTTATTTTGCAGTATAAGTCCAAAATTAATTGTATCATGATCTTATACCTAATTGTCAGAGCTTTTCTACAAAGCATTTATCTTGTTTCTATCAAGGTTGACAATTACATGTGAAAATTTTGGCTTATAATGAAATGCAGAGCTATTTTATAATTATCAAGGGTAAAATTAGCGAAGTCAATTATTTTCTCTTCAGATCTTTCCCAGTAGATGTTAAAAGAGTGCATGGTAATTGCCTTAGGTAGCACTATGATTCTTAAATAATCATTACCTTAAAAATGTTGCTAATCTTGTCACAATGTATCTTTTTGCAATAATACTATATAAATATGTCAATGTTGAGTGAAACTCAGTTATACATTTGCATGCAGTTGTTGCAAGCAAAAACAGATTGTATCTACAATTTTAAATCATGTTATGACTTTTCTCAATTCTTACCCTGTACATATCCTTTTCATAGTAACATATGAAGATCATGTTTAGAAAGTGACAATTTCAAACTTTTTTGGTCTCACTAAAATTACTATTTTCAGTTCTGGAATCCTATTTTCTTGTCTTTTCATTGTGCACTGTGTAACAGCTAAATTAATGTGTAATTTCAGAGTGTAAACAGGGCTGTCAAATTCATTATCTCTTGAGAAAATATATAGTTAACAATGATAAAGTATCTGATAGTTGGGAGTACTCTGAAACAGAACAGTGGGATGTTACAGGATGGAAAGCGAAGAAAACCCTGTACTAATGGATTTTAGTCTTTATTGCATATTTATTTCACTATCTTAGTATCTCTATTTATTAGTTAAATTTGCTCACTCTTAAATGGGTGTAGATTAGATATGAATTCTGAATCGAAAGATCAATATATAACAAATATATTGATATTACCGACATGGTGGTTTGTTGTGTAAGTTTTGAAATCACATTGCATTCAAAATATAAATCATTTGCAAAGTGATTGGAATAGTTGTTATAGACTGAACTGTTTCAAACTCAAATGGGGTGCTTTCCATTTAGTTGGCTTGAGTTCAGAGTGAGTTGAACACTACTAGTGGCCTGCATCCCATGGCTATAAAAAAGATGCTTCTTGGATTAATCCTCCTGAATGGGATACATCAGAACCTTTAAAATTGCATAATAAAGTAAAAATGTTGTATGCAACATAGCATTTCATATATATGGAATAGCTTCAATTGATCAATATGAGGCAGTATTGTTTTGTTAAGCATTAGTTGTTTAAAAATAACCAATTACACAGATGTACTACTTATAGAGTGGATGAATTTCCATATGCTAACTTTACATATTTCTAAAGGCAAAAATATGTTGCTTACCAAATAAACTGTTTGTTTACATAAATAGCATTGATTTATGCAAACAGCGCTTCCTTCTGCACAGAATCCAATAAACCATTTCATTTGTAAAGCAAACTGGCAGCTTTGGGAAGTTTCTGATTTTAAAGACAACAGTATCAGCTGTATCCACAGAAGGGGTATTCTGTTTGTGAAGATACTTTGGATATAGACATGGTTGTGGTTGAAAGACATTGTTCTGCTCTCTTGCATAGCTTTTTTCTCTAGCTTGTTCCAAATGGAGCACTCTGGTTTGTATGATAAGCTAGCAAATCGTACATACGGCCATCTGTGGTTTTCTGGCAATGCTGATTGGTAAGAAGGGAATTTTGGCTTGCCATGATGCTTGAATGTTCATGTGGCAGGTCTAGCCAAAAATTCTATTATGAATGAAGCTGGTAGAAAATACTGATGTATCATAAATGGCCATGCCAATTTAAGAATCTGTAATATATGCCCAACCCTGTTTAATAATAAATAAATTTGATTGTGAAGTTAAATGTTCAGGAAATTTAAAAAAGCAATAATTGCATCTTTAACATATTGCCGTTAAGTTGCCATTAATTTTAAAACTAAATATGGTATCGGTGACTGGAAGCAAAAGAAAAGAAAGAAATATTAGCTTTAATTAAACCAATTATTCTCATTCATGTACAAATGTATAACGTAATCCAATTAATTGGGGATATTTTTGATGAGGGATATTCTAAATCTGTAGGGTCTCTTTTTATCACTTATTGTAGAAAAGGAACAAAACCATAAGTGAAAATTATATTTTTGTTAGGAATTTCATATGATCGGGAGAGGGACACTTTTGAATTAGTCTTGACTCCTGCTTGGAGAAGTTTATACAATTTTTTTGGCAAGATTTTCAGAAGAAGTTTGTGCTCTTGCCTTCTTCCTAGGGTGGAGAGAGGGAGAAAGACTGGCCAAGGTTCGCCCAGCTGGCTTTGTGCCTAGGGTGGGATATGAACTCACAGCTTTCCAGTCTCTAGTCCAGAGCTTTTCAACCTTTTCACCCATTGTACCACTTTTAGGATATGGCAACATCCGAGTACCACCAGTCGCCTAGCAAGGTGTCAAAAACCTGATGACCCCCCCAAAAGGAAAAAAGTGATAAATTACAGGTAGTCCTCGACTTACAACAGTTTGCTTAATGACTGTTCGAAGTTACAATGGCACTGAAAAAAGTGCCCCCCAAGCCACAGCTGAGCAAGACAGCGCCCAGTGGCACTCTTCCTCCTGTCCGAGGTTTTCATTGTTGTGAGCATTTCTGTTGAGGATTGGCAGCAGGGGTGGGGCGGGGGGTGTTTGGTTTTTATTCCCCCTGTCTGCTGGGTGGTTGCAGCAGGTTTTGGTCACTTCACATGACCCTGGGACATTGTGACCGTCATAAATATGAATCAGTTGCCAAGCATCTGAATGTAAATGACAAGACCCTGGAGATGCTGCAACATTCCAGCTGATCGGCGCTTCTTCTGGGCTCAGCAGAAGCACCAGGATCAGCGCTGAGCTCCAGCTGGAGTCTGGCGCTGATCCTGGCGCTTCCACTGAGCCCTGACAGCCCCAAAGAAGCGCCGATCAGCTGGAAAGCGGCACTGATCCTGGCACTTCCGCTGAGCCCTGACAGCCCTGCAGCTCCAGCCATCTCTCGCTCAGGCTTGTGCAGTGCTGCC